GTAATGTACCGCATGCAAGAGCATGCATGACACCAGTGTTCAGCCCTTGGGTGCATGTTTCCCATGGGACAAATAGCAGTAGCACATATTTGTGCCCTTGTTTTTTTTTCCCAGGGTTACACCCAGGCACATTCACTCTAGCGTGAGGCAAATTGCCTCTGGTGCGGTAGGAGAGGCTGGGTCCAGAACCTGTGCTTTTTTTAGCAGCATTTTTTTCTTTTTACACCAGGGTCTCCCAGTGTCAAATATTGGCACTGTGCCACAAATTAGCAGGGCTGTGAATGGGTGCACGTGAGCTGCATGTGGTATGCGATGCCTCAAACAGCTTTGAGGCATCACAAAACACACATGCGCACTCGTCTGGACGTGCCCAGAGATTTCAAACAGGAATCCATGTTGTTAATAGCATTTTGACTTGTTGTGGTCTTTTTGAGCATTTCGCAACAGAAAAATTGCTCTATTATTTTTCCATAGTCAAAAATTAAATGAAAGGTAGGATCTGGCATTTTCCAAGGGATGACTTGAGTTGAGTCCAACAAGGTTGAAATCACAGTTGTAGAAAATATCAAGTAGCTTTCTGACTGAGTAGCATACACCTACTAGATGAAAACAGAAACATGACCTTGAAAATAGATGCTGGTCATTCTTTATTTGTTGAGCCCATTGTATTTTAACCAGTCTTCCTCCCTGATATGACCATTGGGCTATTTTGCAGTTTGGTAATTCCCTACTGAAATTTAAACAAAATTTAACAAAATTTAAACAAAATCTTTCTGCATTATAATCAGGCTTTTCCTGTTTCATTCACTAAGACATTCCAGGGCAATCCAATATACACAACTTTGTAGTCATATTCATGGCACTGAATACAGATATTATTCACATTAAACTCTAACAACATGGAAGGACAAGGGCTGAAAGAGGGAAAAGCAACTAGCTATATTTGCAAGCATTTATACCTACAAATAGCTAACTTTCTAATCAGCAATGGTGTTAACTCTCATGAAGGAAAAAAATGTAACATTTTGTTAGCGCTGCAAATCATATTAGTGTTTTTCCTCTCAATAATGTTCAAGTTTCTGTTTAAAATGTTTGCTCATATTTAACATTAAACTTCACTGCTTGATATGGATGCCTTTTGTTCTTCTGGTCTGATATCTTTTAGTACATATCTTTACTTTCTGTGCTTATCAAAAGAAGCCTAAAATGACTACTATTAACAGCAAAGTGATTACCAACTTCGTTGATTTATCTTACTTCTCAAAATTAATCATGAAGATAAATATATTGTACATTTTTTTATGTTACTTTAATATACTTGAATTGTTTTTACAGTGCTCAACCTATTTGATGACAGTATTGTGTAAAAAAAAAAAGGAAGAGAAGTTGAATATGCACAAGAATGTGACAAAATATGGATCAGAAAAATCAAATCAGCCAGTCTAATTATACTTTTATAACCAAGATGATTATGTTATAGCCAGATTTGGAATTCTAGACAGGTTTAAAATTAGAGAACAGCAATGACAGTTAGGAAAATATTTAGATGTAAACAATCGCATAGCAAATATTCTAATATTTATTAAAAATGTAGTTTTAGGGCTCATTAGTTGGCAGATACACAATGAACTGATCTTTCTAATAACAAAAGCCATTTATGCAACATATTAATTAATGGAAGGGATTCCTTCTGAGGAGCTTAATTGGTCCAGAAACTATCACTTTCTCCACTCCATAACCCTTATTTCTGTTGCTTTTAGGAAGACAGCCCTGGTAGCATCGAGAAGAATAATCATATTTCTTGCACACCACCATTTTGCAACGCAGGTAAAGTGTAGAATATCTGTTTGGCATCCTGAAAGGTTTAAATTTGAACCGCATTCTCCTTCTGTCTGATGAGTAGGAATTAGAGTAGGTGGAGTCTCTTGTACACCTAAGAAAAGAAATAGAAAACATATATTAAATTCATGTTAACACACAAATTAGGTTTATGAAAATACATGTTTTTGTAGCATCATCAATTGATAGAAATTTTCCTTCATATATTTTGGATGATAAAGCTCAAAGTTCATATTTTAAAGCTCCTTAATATATGAAGTTGTACTGTAATAATGAAAGCATGACGAGTTTTAAAACATTTAACAGAATTTGAAGAGAATACATTTGAAAAGAATTATTGAAAAATATGTAAAGAGCTAGCGTGCTATTTTGTTATCTAATGTTATCTTCCCATTTTGAGTTTAGATTTTTTTAAAATAAGACCGCCCCCCCCCCCACACACCTTTTTTTCACTGTTCCCTCAATTTACTTATGTTAGGGAGATGTAAAATTCCTGCAGAGATTTTAGAGTGGTTTCTCTTTCCTACTCCTTCCATAAACAGAATATAGAGATGAAAGCATATATAAAACCAGGGATGGCACCAGTGGAGGGGCTTGGGGGGGCTATAGCCCCCCAAAATTCGCTTTAGACTCTCTGTAGCCACTCATCCCAGCATTGCCCTGGGGCCACCACCGCCTGCCTCACGCAGCTGAGCCTGCCCTGTTGCTGCCCACAGCCTGCAGAGGCGTAGTGTTCCCAGCCCAGCCTAAGAAGTTTGTTTGGCCAGGAGATGTATAGTGCGGCCCCCCCACTCCAAAGTTTCTGTGTAGCCCACCTCAGCCCCCATACCGGGAAGAGGCTGGCGCTGCCTCTGCATAAACCATAGTAATGGGAATGTGAGTCTTTATTACCCTCTTGTGGCTGATGCTAATGGCCATGACCCTTTATCTCAAAGTGGTAGAACCAACTAAGGCTTGGAGGTCTGTGGCTTATGGGTTCAAGCATGTGCCATTTTTTCAGATGAGGTCAGCTAAATGTAAAGTATTGATTTTAAAATTGAGTTGGATATTTCCTTACCCTCTACTGATTAAATCATATTCCACTGTTGAAAAGTCACGGAGATTAGGATATACCACACAAGTGTCAGCAAATAATATCAGGTTTGGATCAGAGCTGTAGATAGTGGCTTGAACTAATAAATCCTGATTTGGTTTGACGTAGAAGGGCGGAGAATTCATTGGGTGTAACAAAGATGATGAGGCATAAAAAGAAAACTTTACAATGAACTGTTCGTGCTGAGCTATTTCAGGTGCAGGCTGTGTAATAGGGACATTTGTTCTCTGGTCCACTTTGCAGGTGAGTTGCAGCAGGTTATTCTTTTTCTTGGTGAAATCACTTCCAAAAGTGGATGCTGTGACTGTGTTGGAATACCTGCTAATTCCATTATGTAGCTGAAAAAAATAGAAAAAAATATGTTTCATATGTCTCGCTGAAATATGACAACTTAAAGAATTGAAACATATTACAAATCAGTAGAAAGTTAGATGAGGCAATGGTGAATTTTCTGAATGCCAGTAAAAATGGTTTTAGACAAAACATTTCATATCAATGTTAGACTTTTTATGCTTGATCATTGACCTTGTATGAAAGTAATGAAGGAAAATATCTGGTATGTATCAAGAAAAAAACCCCCTTGATGATAAGATTAACTTACCCGCTTGAGGGTTGGGGTGGAAGACACATTGGTAGGAACATTTTAAATAAATTGGGCAAAACACTGGAAAAATACTCAAGGGAACAACTCTATACTGGCAAGAAATGAGTTAAATGATCTCTTTCAACCTATAACATTTCATCTTTCTCATTTACTTTAAGTGGAGTGAAAGTAGTTCCAATTAATTCCAATTAATTTCTGAATTTTGACTATAAAGTAGTTTTCATTTTCTTCACTATCAGGTAAAGACACTATTGTGTTTAATGAAAACAGAGATGGAAGCAGGACTCCTGGTTCTAAAGACCTTACATATGTAAGACTTCTATTAAGCTCAAGAGGTATTTTGAGTGAATAAGTTCTACAGGCTTGGATGTAGTATTAGTATGTGGGGGTGGGAGAGGAAGCAACTAGTGTTGTTAAGTAACCTCTTAAACAAAGTAAGGCATCTACACAGAATCTACATATATGTTTCAGTATGATCACAATTTTCTTCCTGAGCTGCTGTGGCCGTTGTCTCTACAATTCTGATTTGTTTTCTTGCTCTCTTCCAGCATCTGTGTGGTACTGCGTATGTACGAAGACGCTTTGTGTATTGCTTTGTATTAGGTATAAAGGATGACATTCACCTACGTACAGAAAACCACTCAAGTCACTCTCAATTCTTGAATAGAAAATTTCCAAAATGGGCCTAATTACTCAAGGCACCACTAAAAAAACCCCATACTGTTTCCTTAGTATAAAGCAATATATGCTCTCCAAAATAAGCAGACAAGACCCTATCTAAATGCTGAAACCACTCACAGTCCATCATCTAAAGCAAAAGACTTAAGTGAAGAAAGCTGGAGCTTACTCTTTTTGAAGTCCATACTTCAATCACTAATTTCAGCTGGAATGGCACTGGACCTTTGAGTTTTTCCTTTGTGTTGTTACTACTCATACATTTATTTCTAGACTGTTATTACTCATACAGTTATTTCCAGACACAACTGTGCCCACTACTTAGTACTTAGTATACCTTAAAAGTTCTTGTTTGAGCCCAAAACAGAGAGATTATAAATTTATTACAACGGTTAAGAAGACTTTGGTAATTAGTTCAAATTGTAGCTACCCAAATACTCAAGTAATTAGTTCACGTTGTAGTTACAGTTCTGGCAGCCCCAGAAAGCTGGCTGTCATGAAACAAGGTAGCTACATTTTAAGTTCCTCGTTGGAAATATTTTAAAGAACATAAAGATACTCTGAAAGATGTTCATCCTTAAGTAATGTTAGCAGACCATTTTGATATATAACATTTTCAAATGCAAATGCTCTTACCTCTTTTCTTGTCCCACAGGTACCATATCGTATGTTGAATACTGCAGTGTAAGCTGTCAAGATTGGTTTACAATTTTGGTCATTCAAGTGAAGCGACAATGCAGAGTAGCCTTTGGACCTGATATAAGCTTCTTGAATGACTGCACGCATGTAGGTTGGCTGGCATAAAAGTGTAACTGCAGAGGGGGGGAATTTAAATATCAGTAAACATTATTTCAGCATAAATATGGTAGGTATGCTGTTGATTATTCTATGCACATCACTAGGAAGGAAGCAAAACATTCACTATCCTGGGAATAAAAGCTGGATAGAGAGAAAACAGATTCATGCCTGTTCTTAGTAGTAGATTAACACCACTGAAAATTCTTACTTCTTCCTCTCTTCCTTCATTGGACTGAGTGATAACAGGCTACACAAATCAGCTCCACTCTACAACTCTTGTGCTAATAGGTTAAACTGAGAGTTAAGCCATAGCAGTAATCCACTGATTTGCTTGTTTGACCTTGACCTTCCTGCATGCTCTGAAGAAGCACATAAAAACAGGGATCTTATTAAGCAGTTTTCCAAGTCAAGGGACGCCCACTTTAAAATTGCAGACTCAGCTTTGTGATAAGCTGCATGAGGGCAGATTGGCTCATCCTCTCTCCACACGGTGACAATGACAGCTCCTTCTACCAGAACTGCTTCAATGATGAAGTCTTCAAAAGCTGTATCATTTCTGCATCGTCTGAGCCATGGCTTAAGACATAAACGAATCAGTTTAACTGGCAAACTGCATCCTTCTCTGCCTTCCCCATGGTCTTCAGATGCTCTCCACAGCTGCTTCTGTGATAGCTTTCAATTAACTTTCCTTTCTCTATGGCCTTCCTCCCTTGTTCAAGTGGTTCACAAATGGTCTGTTACTTTCTTCCCACTCCAGGACTATCCATGCATGGACAGTCTTCTCTGAAGTGTCCCTACAGTAAAGAGTCTTTTCTGATGGAACTTCCTAGCTTTGATTTCTGATACTTGGTCCACCTTCAAGCCTTCATGCTCTGAGTATAAGGACCCTAGGATGTGTGAGACTTCAAAACTGAATTGTAGCTCCTGGGTTCCAACAACCTGCTAGGTGTTATGCTTGAAGTGATTAGTATTGTAGCACTAAGGGAAAGCTGTGAGGGGTAAATATTACTTTTAGGTGAAGAGACATCAATTCACACTACATTAGAAAATGGAGAATGAGAAAATATTACCAGATGCATTGGATGCTGCTGTGGTTTCTGGGGGCTCTCCTAATGCAAAAGGAAAAAAATAAGGATAATTCATGAGACAAAATGTAATCAGTTATCATACAGTATAAGCAACTGAATTAGGATTTTGAAAATAGTAATAGTGAATGTTTGAATGAACTGAGCTGTCATTTATGATCATTTTCCAAAGAGTTATATAAGAAAAAATAATGTACTGAAAATTGAAAGGGGCAAGAATTGGCTTCAGTGGGAGATGGACCGAACTCCACAGGTATTCCTGTATGGACAAGTAATGTCATGCTCTAATATCTGTTGTGAATCCTGAAATATGTGTCTGTGTTGAATTAGTTGTTTGCACATAAGTGCGCATAATTCATAGGCACAATCTAGATGTCTTTTTAAAAGAATGTAGTACATCAAGCCAGATTTTCAAAGATGACCCCAGCCTATTTTTAAGCACCTAATGAAACATATTATGTTAATTTATAAGAAAACTTGGAATTACATATCAGTTTGAAAATGACTATCCTGGTAGTGGTACATTTTACAGAAAACTTAACAAAAGGTTTAAGCCAAAGCCCACAAAAGTCAATGGTAGGGTTCGTATTGATTTTAACAGGCTTAGACTTGCACTATAAGAAGACATGACTTACAGTATGATACCCTTAATGTGATTTATTATAAAGGGCCCATATAGACCAGCTAGATTTACAGTAAACTCTTTAGGGCAGGAACTATGGTTTGTTCAGTATTTAGACAGCGCTTAGCTCAATGGAGCTTGGCAAGGGTTCATGACCAGGATTCAAAGGTGTTACTATAATACAAGTTTGAAAAACATCAACATCACTAGCACAAGCACTAGCTCTGTATGAGGCAGAAGAGCTGTTAATATAAAAATAAAGCAATAGGCTAGAGTTAAGGACCATTCTCACAACAATTGTTTTTTATTAAGCTTTATTAACCACTTGCCTCAAAATGTATTTAAAAGACAAGAAAATTAGAAACTGTAGTTCAACAACCAAAGTTAGCAGAGACGATAGAAGGTGAGGAACAGAGATGCATCTCTCCAAAGTGCCTTAAAACATTCTCCAACAGATATCCAACCCCTCCAGCACAATAATTCTTAGCCATGAGTGGCTGTGATGACAGCCCTTAAAATAAAGGGTCAAATCTTGACTCACTACTAAGGATAATGGAGCTTTGTCATTGATTTAAGTAGAACCAGGACTGCACCCAGTAATATATTTTGAAACTATGGAGGTGTGGGTATTTTCTAACTGAAACACAGAAGTTATCCCATGGAGAAAAAATATAATTAAACATGTTAGAATAAGACCACAGAGGGTTTAGACATAAATCTTGTTATTTAAAAGAATATATATATGTTCAAAACTCGTAGCCTACTTGCAAAATATCAGTCTGTCTTAAGATCTGACCATTGGGGGCCATTAATAAATAAAAAAGAAAGGTCCAGCAATCCAGCCTCAGACCTTGTGGGAAAGATGCTGTGGATTTTCAATATAGTGATTTATACCTTTTTCCTGAGATGAGGCAGTAGAAAGCAAGGTAAAAGTGATTTACTTCTACAGGTAACTGCTATTTCCATGTGAATATAGATGTTCATGCATAACTGCAGATAGCAAGTCAGAAAATCCACTGTAAGCCCTTCAAATAGGTTACCTTCCACATAGGTATGTAAATAGGTTTCAAATATTAAAAGCAGATTTTTTAAAGCAAGACTAAGAAAAGACTTACCAGTTGTAATGAGCTCTTGGGTGGTGGATGGAAAAGCTGGTAATGCAAAAAGATAATGAAAGATAGAAGTAAAACACTATTTTTTATTAAATATATGAGTCCCTGGAAAAGCAACATTTTCTATAACATTGTGGCTAAGATGGAATATATCAAACTACAAATTTAACAAGAAACTTAGTGCAAACATGAAGACTGTACAAAGCTTGGAAAGCGATGGAGGTATCAGAGTAGGTATCTTCAGGTAGTTGTGCAATAATGCATCACATCTAAAATTGGACTTCAACAACTGGATCCACATAAGCAGCTATTCAAATTATCTGTATTGTAGATGAGACCAGCCTGAGTAGAGGAGTATGGATTTACTTCTGAAGATATTGCCATATCCTTGGGATTTGGGACATGGAAAGCACTGGAAACAGGAAGCCAATCAGTGCACTGTAAGATTATAGGCTTCTCTTTAACTAGTCACGTAACCAGGCTAATGCTGTACTACTTACATATAGTAATGGACTCCTGCATGGTGATAGGAGGAGCTGGGGAATAGAGAAGAAAAAAGACAAACTTAAATACTTTATGAAACAAACACTTAAATAAACATCATGACTTACTTAAGAATATTAAAATAATACTATGGATTTGCTTTTACAATGAATAAGTCATTGTGGAAAAGGAAAGCTTGGTGGCCTGGAAGACAAAGCCCCTAGAGGTTTCCCCTTCCTCTCTTGAATCTTAATTCACAATCCCCATTACTGCCTGGATTTCCCCATCCCAGTGACACCAAGTTAATTGCCAAATCCTGTATTTCAAATGGGATTTTATGGAAACACAGCTTATTGGTTAATAGGGATAAATATAAATGGCAAAGCTCATTTATTTTTTATTTAGATCAGAATGGATTTTCTAAGAAAATGTAAAAATAATATTGTATCTATTTAAATAAAAATCAAAACACATTTACAAGAAGTGATGAGTTTATCTCACTGATCTAATAATCAGAAGCAATATGCTATTGATTCATCAGTCACCTGTCTTTGATCATAGTTACTCAGAGCCTGGTTCTCATGACCCTCATGATGCTAAGTAGCCCTTACTCATGACAGTAGAGTTCAGTGGCAATATCTCAGCAAGGACTACTGGTGTGATCCCTTTGTCATTAGAGGGGCCACAAAAGAGACAGCTCTGTTTAGCCTGGTTAAGAATCAGCAGTTCATGTCCAAACATTAATTTACCAATTAAACATATGAATAATTATGGCAAAAATAAAATAACAAATACCTGCTTTTTCAGATGTAGCATACTCTCCAGGAACTTATCAAAGGCATAAAAGAAAAGTCCCAGTTTAGTAACTGTCACAATATGATGTAAACTGTTTAAAGGCTTTGTATCCAAAGCAAGGACACAAAGTCAATGCAAAGGCCGGTTTGTCCAAATTTTGGGTTTTCATTCAGATTGTGACTGGGATTTTCTAATTGTTAAGTAATTAAATCTCAACTGTTTGGAGAAGCCCATTACTTGACATTGGTACCGCATAATTGTGCCTTTCTCCCTCCATAGCTAGGGACATAAGTTACACAGAAACAGTTTAAGTGATCAGAAACTGGTTTAAACCTGTACCAGAACATAAGTTCAGTGCACATAAACCAGTTTCAAAATGTCCAAAACTGGTTTAAGACAAATCTGGTTGAATACAGTATCAGACTTAACTGATTTGGGTCAAACTAGTTTCTGGAACTTCTGTCCCAGACCCCTTCCTGGTTTAAGTTAAATGGGAGCCCCCAGCACGCTCTGCAGCCTGGGCTGTGTTCTCTGCTCCAACAAGGGACTTTTCTATCCCCAGCAGCCAGGAGTGGGGTGGATTTCCCCACCTCACCCCTTCCTCGGCCAGGGAATTGGCCCAGATCCAAGCTGGGGTGGGGGAGTAAAGCCCCTGATGCACTCCCTGCTGGACCGGCCACCCCCAGGACCTGCTGGGCTGCAGGTTGCATTCACAGGGGAGTCCCATGCTGCTGGACAGTCTGGGGAAGCGGAGGTGCAGCCTGTGATGCGAGCCCCCTCCTTCCTCCCATGTTAACGGCTCTGCTATTCTGCCTTGCAACCTGGTGGGTGGAGTAAGATGGGAGCTACAGAGGCTGAGTCTGGTAGGCCAGAGGGGCAGTGGGCGCTGGCTCCAGCCATGCAGGGCTTGCAGTGGGCAGGGCAAGCATAGAAGATGTGGGGAGGACTTGCGCGATGACTGCAGGGAGCTCAGGGCAGGGGCAGTGGGGCCCAGCTCCCAGATGGAGATGAGGTGCTGGAGGTGCCAGGCAGCCGTGATGCTCTGATCCCCTGGGCCAGCTTCAGAGAAGTGGTGGTGCCCAGAGCCACGCTCACTCTGCTGCTCCTGGGATGGCAGCAGGGGTCGGGAATGGGTGGGAGGGAAGAGGGAAGGGAAGGAGGTTTCCGTCTTTCCTTCCCTCTCCCTTTTCAGTCGGCTTGCCAGCCGGGGAGGAAATGTCACCGGGTGGTCGGCCCAGCTGCCAGCTGCAGGGAAGCCTGCAGTCCCCACCTGAGCCGGGAGCCAGGGCAATCACCTGGCCATGTCCCCTCCCCAGTCAGTGGGCCAGCCGAGATGGGGATGGGGGGGGAAAACTGTTCCCATTATGGGCTTCCCACCTCCCTGTGCCAGGCCCAGCCTGGCTGGGGACCCAAAGCTGGGCTGGGGCTGTTTTCCCCCCACTCTCTCTTCAGCTGGCTCGTGGCTGAGCAGGGGGCATGGCCAGGTGATCACCCAGGCTGGCTGAGCAGGGGGCACAGCCAGCTTGCCGGGCTGGCTCCCAGCTCAGGCAGGGGAGGAAAGCCTCCGCTGCGGGCTTCCCCACAGCCAGGAGCAGGGTGGATCACATGGCCATGCCCCCTGCTCAGTCAGCTGAGGAGGGAGTGGGGGCGGGGGGGTGGGGAAAACAGCCCAGCTCGGGGTCCAGAGCTGGGGGGGCATCCCCCTCACTTCCTCCTCAGCTGGCCTCTGGCCAAGGAGGGGGCATGGCTAGGTGATTGGCCCAGCTCCTGGCTCCAGGTGTCGGACAGTGGTGGTGGGGGGGAAGAAACACCCTGCTGGGGGCTCCCCTCTCCCCGCTTGCCCCACAGCAGAGAGACCCCAGCTGGAGATCCAGTGCCTGGCAGAGAGGAGGGTTTCCCTCCACACCAGCTAGACTGAGGAGAGGACGTGCCTAGGGAGACCGGCTCCAGGCATAGGGAGAGAGGGGAAGAGGCACCCCCCGGGGGCTTCTCCTTCTCCCCTTCTCCATTCCTCTGCATGGGGCAGATCCTGGCTGGGGGTCCAGTGCGGGGCGAAGGGGGCGGTTTCCCCCCAGGCTCACTCCTCACAAACACCTGCAAAGATTAAATTAATTCAGCCCCAGGCTTTTTGACTGTCTGTACTTAGCCCATGAGAGAAGTTAATCTGAAGACAGTATGAGCAAACTGATGCTGCGTTATGGAGGAAGTTATTCCTGTTTTCATTTGAAAAACAAAGCAAATCGCAGACTGCAATTATGTCGCTACAGCATAGCAGAACCTGGCAGGTGTGCTTAGAAGAATCTGAAGAATATTCATAACCAGAATTACTTTTAAAAAAGTGGTAAAGAAACTCACTGAGGAGAAGCTGGACTTCCTTCTACAGAAATCTGCTATTTGAGTGCGAATGCAGACTGGTTTATATAATGAACAGGATGCAGGAAACTAGTAACTGCTTTCTGTAAGAATTTTCTGCCCTGTAAATCGTTATGTAGAACTGGAGAATATTCATTAAAATTAGGCTGAAAAAGGCTTACCTCTTGTAGTATGTGTCTCTGGGGTTTGTTGAAGACCTAATAATAGAAAAGATAATGGAAAACTAAGTGAATGCTTAGTCTTTAGTAAAAATATGTTGAAATAAATGTCATCAGATATTGAGGAACAAGAAGTCAAATTAGGTGGAATTTCAATGCAGGAAAAAGAGTGAGAAGGAGAGAATATAAGGAAACTACAAATCGAAAAGAAGAATTGGTCAGTGCAGACAGGTGGGCTGGAAAAGGTAACTACAGTGACGCCAATGACCATGTGAAGCCCAGCAGATGGAGCCCTACGGCAAGGAAAGCTCCGCAGTGTAACACTGCCCCTGTCTGAATTTCTCCTAAATTCTCCAACGGGAAGGGAAATTTAACCTCCAACCTTTGCAGAAAGAATAGAGATTAACCCGGAAGGGTTCAAATTCATGGAATCATGTGGAAGAAGTGGCTGTGATCAAGTGATTAAAGAGCTGATGAGCTAATGGACCGTCCAGCTCTCCTTCAACCTGTTACCCTTGTAACATGCCTGCATTTCCAGGCCACTGAAACAGATTCCCTTGCTAACAGGTGCCCCTAGCATTCTCCTTCAAGCTGAGTTTTTCACTTAAAGGATTGTACGTTAGCCCTAACAAATACATTTGATATGAAATGGAACAGGAACTGAAAAGTACCTGAGCGGATGATACCAGCATCTTCATGGTGGACACAAGTTATGGGTGCCCCAACCTCTGTGAGAGCACTGCTTCAGAGAGGGTTCATTCCCTTTGCACCGCACATCATCTAGGAAAATACTTCAAAAGCCTTCACCAAAATAAGCACTGATCTGGACTGCAGTGGCCTTTCCACACCTAAGCTGTCTGCACACAACCACAGCATCTTTTGTCCCAGGCATCATCACAGATGGTTCTTCAGCTTTCCCTGTGGTAGACTTCAACATGATCTGAACACCTGTACTCTCAACTCGCTAGCCTCAGAGATGCATCTGAGAAGAGCACAGGATAGAGCATTTGTAATGTTAATGCATTCATTGTGTTTTCAATATCAAGAGATTTCCAGAACCTAGAAAGAGCCTGCACACTGCCTGGATAGAGCAGATTCTCCCCTGAATACCCAAGGTAACCCCAAATGCATAAGGATACAAAACTTACTCCAGGACACATCCTATGAGATGCAATGCAAACCCCACCAGTAGAAGAGTCTCAGAAATTGGCCCAGACAAGATGTGA